GGGGTCCCGAAAAGCGCTATATAAATGCAATCCATTATTATTATTATTATTATTATTATTGTTAGTTTAGTTTGTGTCCCTCAGACATTCCAAACTGTTTTCACCTGGGCCTGATTAGGAAAAACTAAACCCAAAAAACCCAAAAAAATGCAGATGATTAGCTGTCTTTGAGTGTGAAGAAGCGTAATTAATTCCCGTAAACATCGCCCATTACAACAAAACCTGAACAGCCTGAGGTTCCTAAGAAAGAGCAAGGTACAGCGCCCGTATTTTCCACATTGAGTCATCATGCTAAAAATACAGTCACAGACAATTTATCATCCTTACTTCAGTGACAGGGTGGTGACTTTGTCTTTAAAACAGTCAAACTGACCTAAGTGCTCTGATTTGGCTTAAATGAGCAGCCCCCAAAACTTTGCTTTCCTTTTTAGAAAGTTTTCAAATAATCTGGGGGGACAAATTGGACCGTTTGGTAGACAGAATCCATGTGCGTCTCACTCTGTCGCACATGCATGCAAGCTTTAGATGGTTGGCATGGATGAGTCAGCAGCATCTATTAAGTGACAAACAATTATGGGCCTTTATCTGAGACTTTTAATAGCGGGACTAAGAAGAGACCTGATAACCGTGACAGTGGTCATAAAATTCCTTCAAGGAAGGGAAATAAATATTAGTTTAATTGATAACAAATATAAAAGACAAAAAGCCGGTGGTATAAGAACCAGCTGATGTTGAGAATTTTAAAAGGATGCATTAATCAGCGCTTAGCTGATAGGTTTTAGTTTTTGAATAAACATTTGTGAGGTTGAGCAACAGCAGGCAGAAAATACCAGCCAACAAAGAAGGAACTGGGCCTTAAATGACAGCAAATCTCTTTTGTTTCTCTTTTTTGTTTTTGTTTTCATGAACTCATGAGCAAAACACAATTTTAATGAGCTTCTGTTCTCAGTGCTCCTGCTTGTAATAGAGATGAACAGCTGTTAGCGACTTCTCTGAGCAAAACAGGTTAATCTGCAGAAAACACAAAAACAGTTTATAAAGTGAAGGTGCTTTTTTGCTTTCCTTTTTGTGTTCACTCCTGATTTATAAGAAGGGCACTAAAGCACAACTCATTTACACCAACTCTATCCATGTCATTACATAAAGCCGGCTAATGGTAACAGTAATCTGCCATCCACAAACCTACATTTACTGTGTTTGGGTGCCAGTGTTTGTGGAAAACATGCCAATAAATTTGTCTGTTTATTTTACTGAAAACTGATGTTTTTTATGTTTTAAACAGGCCTTTGGCAACGCCAAGACCACAAAGAATAACAACTCCAGTCGCTTTGGGAAGTTCATCCAGCTCAACTACCTGGAAAGTGGTGTCATCAGAGGGTAAAGTGCCCTTTATTGTTTTTCTCATGGACCACCTCTGATTGAGTCGTGTCTCTTCAAAGTTAACCGTTTGCTTCATAGTAGTTTTTCTTCCAGTGTCACAAAAGAACAATGGCAGCTTCATGGGTTTTGTTGACGTTCTCTTCCTTTGTCTCTCGTTCAGGGCCGTTATTGAAAAGTACCTACTGGAAAAATGCCGCGTGGTGACCAGAGATAAGAGTGAGAGGTATAAATAAGACTCAAATAGAATACAAGATTCAAACATGTGCAATTTTTAGAAAATCTCTTCTGGCACTAATCATGTTCACACCACTCCCCAGTTTGTACAAGAAACCTCATGTCTACCATAGCCCAATAAAGGGGCTGAGTCATTAGGAAAGTTGAAGTGAAAATTGCTTCTCCTGCAGAAACTTCCATGTGTTCTACTATCTGCTGATGGGCGCGTCCAAAGACGAGCAGGAGGAGCTACATCTTCTAAAGCCACAGGATTATCTCTACCTCAAACAGGTACCTTTGATCCACAGGCTTTACAGCAGCAGTGAGAGAGAAAGTGGAAGACCAGCTTAAATACATGCCATATATAACATTATCAAATAGGTGAAAACCAGCGAGATATGTTTTACGGAAACAGACCTACAGGGTCTTGAAACTTCTTGGAAGTAAAGAGAAGCCTGTGAAAGCAGCTGCAGTATAATTAATAAACAGATATTCACATGAAGCTAAAAAAAACTACACTTTAATTGCACTTAACACCACACATGCTTTTCCTCCAAATAATATTACTATATGGAGGACCTAGGACATGTTCGTTACTTTTCTCACTGACTCTTTTAACCTCGTCTCCCTGTTTATAGATGTAGATTTAACTGAAATTACAGTTTAACCACCTGATAAGAGTGTCTTCTGTTTATTGCATCAACGGGGAAAATTTATATTTCCATTTATGTTTTTAATTTTTTTAGTAGCTTTTATATTTTAATGATGATAAACATTTGTTTTTATATTTTCCTCATTATAGTCATGTGACATTCATCTGTCGTGTGTCATAGCCAGCAGCCCATACCTTCAAAGGAAGGTGATTGGATTTTGTGGCAACATTGACTTATACTATGTCACCACACAATGCAACAGTAACTGAAATGCTACAAACTGGAGTAAATACAATCCAGTTTCATTTCTATAGCAACAACAGCAATAGCTATCTGTAGGGGCTGAAAACTTGCCTTCTTTGTGAGGATGAAGAGGAACCATAACCCTAAAAAGAGTCCCTGGTACACCACCAACCTGTTCATGTCTCTAATTGTTTTTCCTCTTGTGGTGACACACCCGCTGAGGAACAAACGCTGGGTAATGGCGATTCTGTTTTGAGACATGTTAAGCTAGAGACACTAGCCGTAGTGAATTGTCGTTTAAGAACCAGAGCAGGGGACAGTGAAGGCACTTGAACCTGCTGGCCAACGATAAACATAAATGTTGTGTCAGTGTAGATGTGTATGTATGTATGCTTTACCTGAGGTTGTTCATTATGCAGCTGATGTACAGGAAATAAACATCTGTTCACGTAAAGCTGAAAAACTGCACTTTTAACTGAAACACTGCCCGTGCTTCTCCACTAAATTACATTATTAAATGCAGGACTTAAGAACAAGTCTGGCATGTTTGTTTATTTTTCACTGACTCTTTTACCCTTGTCTCCCTGTTTATAGATGTAGATTTAACTGAAATTACAGTTTAACCACCTGAAAAGAGTGCTTGTACACTCGGACATGCGCAGACTGTTTTCTTTCGTGGTGATGAAGGGAAATGCTGGGCTGGCATGTAAAAGGGTATTTATTCTTCCAGGACCTGAAGCTCAGTAAAGGACCTCTCCAACAGCCAAACCCATGATATGACATTGACCAATAAGATGAAAGGAAGAAAAATCGGGTCAAAATTTGTACTTGTAACTTTAAACTTGCACACAAGCAAAGGGACTTGAGCGCAGAGTTTTATACGTAGTTTTTTGCTTTGTGTGTGCAACCTGTGCGACCTTAACGAAAAAATTTGTAACTTGTAAATATTTTTTACGAACAAAAATCTTTTTTACACGCGCACAAATTCTCATCTAAAGATGCACAAACATCAAATTTTCAGATATTTCGGTTTACAAGATTACAAAACTCAGTTCACAAATACGCATTTGATTTAGAAGTACAAATTATTTATTACCACAATTTGAGCCCATAGTGCAGCAGCTTGTATTCTGCCAGTGTATACATCTGCCACTGCTCTCGTGTTCTTTCCTCTAATAGTTCATTCACTGTGAAGACGCGATCACTGCTGAAGTCTTGTACGTATCAGAAAAAGCAACTTTTGCTCAGTATTTCAAGTCCAACATGATCAGCTCAGTTTCACTCATGAAGACGTGCCAGTGCACAAGTATACATGGAAACAGCAGCGATACCCACTGCAATACAGACTCCATACCGGTGCATGCACACAAAAAAATCCACAGAGAAAGCATTTGATCTCAGCGTTACTGAGTTAAACCAAACATACAGGTTTGTGCATTCCTCAGTTTGCATGTACTTGCATGATGCAGTGTGTGGATTCTTATATAACTACATCCATAAACATCGGTCTTTGCTTAACATGTATTTCTGTTCTGCATGCTCTACAGGAAGACCTGCTTTTAGACGATGAGGAGAAACTTGGGCAAGAGTACAGGAGGCTCCATCAAGCTATGGAGATGGTTGGGTTCCTGCCCTCCACTAAGAAACAGTATGTATGATAATGATAGTAAGAGCTAAAATGCTACAGACTAGAATAAAAGTTATACTATACTAGTGTCGGTAACAGGTCAGAGCTTGTACGAAAGCACCTGGTAGCCTCGGGACAAGGCATGTGCAGAAAAGCAAAAACAACATAGTTTGCATGCTGTTCAGGTTGGTTTCCCTGACAAAAAACCACCCACAGCAATTCATAGTTTGAAAAGGTGGGAAGTTTAAAAAAACAAAAGTAGCAATAAAGGGTTTCATAGATTTGGTCATGATTAACTCTCTTTTTATATTGAAGGAGGTGCAGACTTACACATGCAGCTTGCGTTTAAGCTTTTTTCTTTTAAGATAATGTGAAGTATCAGTAGTACTGGATGTCCCAAAAGGCAGCACTGATATATTTAGAGCAACAAAACAATGTTAAATATGCCACCAGTTCATCAGTGATGTGTGGATGAGATTGAGGGGGAAAAAAGTTCAAACAATAATGTAAAAGTAATTGTGTGTCCTTTGGCTGTCTCATTTGGTTTTGGGCACAACTAGATTAACTTTGCATGGTTCACAGTTTTAAGTAATCCGTATTTAGCTCATACGTTTGTTTTGTGGGTTTTGCTGAGATGACTACATTGAAGATGTTGCCAGTGTCATTTAGAGCAATCTGAGGCTTTAAGGAACACTGACCACCTTTAATATGAACACTTAAAAAGTAAAAATCCATCAATTTTCTTCTACTTATTTAATTAAAGGGGCGGAGGCCTGGTGCCTGCCCCAAGACAGGCCCTTGGGTTTGAATCCATCTGTGTGGACTTTGCATGTTCTCTCCACGTGCTCCAGCCTCCTCCCACAATCCATTCAGGTCTTTGGACTGTGGGAGGAAGCAGACGAGGTTGAATAGACAGATTATATTACGGATACAGATTATATTGAAATTTAAATTCTGTGATACTATATGACAAAGTGGACATTTGGTTCTTACATTTGATAAGATTAACTGACTGTGTTTGTGTCCAATGTGCAGCATATTTTCCATCCTCTCTGCCATCCTCCACTTGGGTAACGTCACATTCACTCAGTCAGAGGACCCTCCGCGTTTGGAGGTTGGACCTCCTGAAGTCTTGTCTATACTGTCAGACCTGTTGAAGGTAGGATCAGAAACAGCCGACTTAGTGTTACTGCAGTGTACTGCATACTGCTACATTTGTAATGGTCACTTGAAAGGGTCCAGTTAAGTTCCAGAGAAAATGAAAACTAAATTGCATCAGTGTGGTTTGTAAATAAACATGTCTCAGTCTGTAATTTTAGTGGCATTTGCAGAAGATTGAAGAAATGCCTCAATACTTATGTATTTCTTTTTATTTCCAGGTGGAAGAGGAATCACTGGTGAATACTTTGATCAAGAGAAAAATGATAACTGCCAGCTTCACCATAGCTTTACCGTACACACTAGATGAGGTAGTTTAAATGTTAACTTGATCTTTAATTTTATAAGTCAACTTTTATTGCCTTCTTCCTACATTAACGTCACATTTTAATCATCAGCTATATAGAAGAGAGAGATGATGTCACCCTGATGTCACCCAGTAGTTGGTTAGTTTCTTTTTAGGAAGCCTCAAGCCTCAGCATGTTCAGCGTCATCATCAAGATGACTAGACTCTGTGTATGAAGCTGCAAAAAAATAAATCCAAAATTAGTCTCCATTCTGACTCTTACAGGAACCAAAACAAAACTCATGAGGAAAAGTGTTGCTAAGATTATAGATCAAGGGGTTTGAGCCCTGTTTCTCTCATAGACTTTTATAGAATTAAACCCCTAAAACAGCAGTCCCCAGTGTTTTTTTTTTTTTGCACCACGGACCGGTTTAATGTCAGACAATATTTTCATGGACCGTCCTTTAATGTGTAGCAGATAAATACAACAATACGACCAAGACAAAAACTGTGGTGTTTTGTAAATATAATAATAAACGCAAATTCAGTGTGTAATTGTGTAACTTTATTAGCAGCGTCCATAGTACCAGTTGAAAACACGCCTCAACCACATTCCATAACAAGGTATAGACACCGCAACATTAGTGATTCAGCAATTCCCCGATGAGCAATCATTTGCTGTTGGTTACTGTCACCGCAATCAGGGGAGGCTTTTTCCCAAACTCTGGGAAGAAGCAGGCAAGTTAAAGCCGTACAGAAGAGGCATGTAAGCACATCAGGGTAGAAAGGAAACACTCCCTTTTTATACTGAAAAACGAGTTTTGACACTCGTGATGCTAATATTATGTGACTGTAATGTTATGCTCCTGTGCTTTCAGGCCGTCGCAATGCGAGACTCCATGGCCCAATCTTTATACGGCGCTCTGTTTGACTGGATCATCCTTCACATCAACCATGCGACCATGAACAGACGAGACATGGAGGAGTCTGTCTCAGTGAGTCGCATGATTCAATATAATAACGATATAATTGAGATGAAAAGCCTTTCCTTACTTTTCCATATCCAAATTCATTCCTGCCAGGCTGCTTCACTTTAGATTCAATTTTTATACAATTAGATTCAAATAAATCCATTAATATATGTTTGCTTTTTTTTAAAATGGAACAGGTCTGTGTAATATTAGCTCATAAATTAACACTTTTGAGTATGGTGCCTTTGAATTTGTCTGGATTGCTGTTTTGTTTTTAGTGTTTGTCCATCGGTGTCCTGGATATGTTTGGGTTTGAAAACCTCCAGTCAAACAGTTTTGAGCAGCTGTGCATCAACTACGCCAACGAGACACTGCAATGTTACATCAACCAGAACATCTTCAGGCTTGAGCAAGTAGGTTTACTTATACACATTTACAACAAGAAAAAGTTCTTTTCATTATTATAACTGGACACACCATACACGTGCGCTTAACTGACAAGTTCTGAAATACGTTCTTCTTCACAGCATTTCACACACATATTGGCATGTCTTACAACATACACTCAATGGCCACATTTTTTTAAACATTTTTTTCTGTTTTTCTGTTTTCTTTACTTTCAAATCAAAGAATATTGAGCAGTCAGACAACAAATTGAATATGTACAATAAATTGAAATTTGCGGATGGTAAATTTCAATTTACTATCATTGCAACACTGTGTTACTAACGGCATTCCTGAGCTTGGAAGACTGATTCACAGTAACACATGACATGATTGCGTAAATGTGTTATGATAAATGCCAGGAGGAGTTTGTGGAAGAGAGCATTGTCTGGAAAAACATCGAGTTCAGCAACAACACCGACTGCGTTCAGCTGTTCGACAAGAAGTCGATTGGACTCTTCGACCTGCTGGAGAAGGAGAGCAGGTAAGTGAACTCATACTACTGTAGACCTTATTAATTTAATTTTCATCTATATTTTATTTTTAAAAAAAATCAGTTTCCATAGTTCATTTGCTTGTTGAAATTATTGTTTTGTTACATAAAAATGTCTGATTAGTTCAGGTGTTCGTTTTACACTCTAATTAGACTATCAAGACACAGAAAATGTTTCAGTACTTAAAGCCACCTCAGGCTGGCTGTGTAGGGAAAAAAAACTATGACATGTTTTTACTATATTTTAATTTGCTTTATAAGTAAAACATAAATAAAAATAAATAAATTAAAAATATTGTTTGTTAATTTGAATTTTTTTTTTTTTAATCAACCCTAATTTTTTATTTTTTTTTATTTTTTTTTACTTTTGCTAAAATGTTTTTTTTAAAACTACTGGGAAATCTTAGTTTAGTTTTTGTTAATATTGGTGATGGGGGGGTTAAAGAAACAAATAAAATTTACATTATTGAAACTATTTAATTGTTTAATTACAAGGTAATGTAGTTAAAATAGAAATTTTGAATTATTGACATATAATGACAATTCTAACTTCGGTGAGGACATACTTTATACTTTAGTTATGTATTAGCAGACGAGTTAAACTTTTTGCCTTTTGCATCAGTTTATTTGTTACCAAAAATATACTGAAATCAAAGATGTATCCGAGAGCACAAACCTCCAGCGAGGCGGCTCACATTCTGGGCAGTTTTAATTTTATTTTGCACATATTCAGATTGTTTTGTTTCATTTTCGTTTTTCTTCACACTTTAAGAAGTTTTTAGTGTAGTAAAAACAAGTTCAGATGGGCTTTTATTTGACCTGGTAAAAGACACATTGATATACGTGACATAATTCTGTGTGTAATCATTGTTTTTATTAATGCGGCTGTAGTTCATGTGTAGCGTTCATTTAATTGTAGTAAAATTTATTTAAGTGTTCAGTCATTAATATTAATTGAAGTTTGTTTTTGTTTAAAACATGTTGTACACGTATTCAAATGGTTATATATTTAAATGATTGTAACCCGTTACTGTAATGAGAAAAAAAATCAAGTACACTGGCATTAGAACAGACTGTAATTAATCTTTTCTGAACGCTTAAATTAAAAAAGAGTTGAATAAAAATTCAGTTTGAATTGTTTTTCGGGCAAATCACAGCTAATAACAGGTAGAGATGATTCAGTTCATCACTGTATACTTTCTGTATTGTCAGTCTAGTAAATATGCCAAAGCCAACTTTTCTTTTTAAAATGTAATTATTTCTCTATGTAACGTCAGTTTAAAAAAAAAAACCACTATGGGATGAAATTATTTTTTTTATTTTTGCGGTTGCCTTTATCTCGTCTTAACATTGTTTAGTCATACATTTATTCCATATGTCAGCGGTCCCCAACCCCCAGGAGTCGTTTGGTGCTGGGCTGCGAGAGTTGAGGCTTTCAGGTCTTCAGGGTTTTTATTGGTTTTTATCTTCTTTTTTTTTTTTAGCGTTTTTTTAATTTTTTTAATATTTTTGCGTTTTTTATCGTTAACTCCGTTTTCCTGGGTCTTTTCCTGGGTGTTATCAATAAATCTTCTTTTTTGGGTTATTTTTTTTGTTGTATTTATCTGCGACACCTTAAAGGCTGGTCCGTAAAAATACTGTTGGACATAAACTGGTCCGTGGCCCAAAAAAGGCTGGTGACCGCTGCCTTATGTCATGTATTTTTCTTTCTCACTGTGTTTCTTCAGCCTCACCGAGGCCACAGACAAGAGTCTGCTGGAAAAGATAAAGAAGCAGCATCAGGACAACCCATACTTCAAACCATCTCCACACACAGAGCCAACTTTTGTGATTCAACACTTTGCTGGGAGGGTTAAATATCACATCAAGGTGGAGTAAAATTCTTCTCTTTTTTTTTTGGCTTTGCAGTAACCTTGTTTGATAAGGAAGTGTGGGGGAAAAAACTCTTTGCAGCCAAGTGAATCATTAATTCCCTCCACAGAGAAAACTGTGGAAGCATTGTTAGTTTTTAGTGTCAGACACATGTGTAAACACTGCGAAGGCTGTGAACCACACACGGTGGTGTACTGATCATTACTATTTCTCGTTCATTAGGACTTCAGAAAGAAAAACACAGAGCACATGCGTCCTGATGTCATATCACTTCTGCGGAGCAGTGAGCGCTCCTTCATCCATCACTTGGTTGCTTCCAGCCCAGAAGCACAGTTCAGATGGGGTGTCCTCCGAGCAGCCATCCGCATCCTCACAGTATTCAAGAACCTGGGACGTCGGCGGGAAAAATTAAGTGGGTAGTTTAGTTATGGTTGACAGTTATCTTAAAAAAAAAGAAGAGAAAAGTGAATTTCCTTTGTAGGACAACATTGGCACCTTTGTTTGACTTTTTTCCTTAATGTGTTTGTCAGCCTTTATCCCGACAGTCGAGTTTCTTTATGTGAAATGTTTCTCATTTTTGTTATAATGTACAACTAGCTTGCTTTACTGTCACCACAGCTGCTGCAAGGCGGAAGTCTTTTAAAGAGATACAAGATAAGCGCCGGAGTACTTTGAGTCAACTATCCAGGTAAATATAAGACACAAGTACATGAATGGCACATATTGGAAATTAGTCTCGATGCAGACACCAACAAGACATATGTCGTTTAGCACTGGAACATGAATAAAAAGCTTAACATCCAGTGAGTTAAGATTCACATGGTCATATAAGCAAAAAAACAAAACATAACATAAGAATAGTTCTGTGCTGATAAAGTTAAAGAGGTTTTCTCATTCTTGCAGTACCAGGACGAGTCTGGATTTCTCCTTTGAACGCTCTGATGAACAACCAGTTGATGCATTTGATTTTTTGGCCATGGGTCACGACCAAACCAGCCAGCCCGTCTGCTGTACTGTGCAGAAAAGGTGAGTTTGCTTTTGGTTAAACAGTTATATTATATATAACAGTTTTTCATAATCCTCTTTCTGTCTGTTTTCTGCAGGAGAACTAAAAGCGGTCGACAGAAGCAGATTATTCCAAAGGTAAAGCCTCACTATAACTCATGGATGTTAACTGATTCTTTATCAATAGTCTTTGATTTTGTTTTAGAGTCAGGAAGCTCACAGTTATATTTATGTTTTATCAAACAGAACCTTGTTGATTTGCGTTCTCTCCGACACATTATTGGTCTCACGGGGCACGACCTAACCAGCAAATCCATCTTCCATCCTCACCGAAAATCAAATCCTTCTACAGTAGGCTCTCAGTTCCAGGTTTGTCTTCAGCATAACGTCTAAAATATCCCTGGTGTGGAAACATTTTAATACTATGTCATTCTTAACGGGGATATCCTCAAGTGACACCCTATCAGAAAGGCTTAAAAACTCTGTTGCCGTTTAAGATGAAGATCTTTAATGAAAACTTGCTCACTGTTTGTATGCTTCTTGCAGACATCACTCACAACTCTGATGGACAGAATTGCAAAAGCCGAGCCTTTCTTCATTTTCTGTGTGCGCGCCAATGCTGAAAAGGTAATCTGTGAATCTGTGGCATCATCATTATGAAGTTTATATGTTTCACTGGATAAGAAACTTCATCATTTTTTTTTGTTTATTTAAACAGAAGGAGCTGTGCTTTGATGATAAACTTGTCCTAAACCAAATCAGGTATACAGGCTTACTGCAGATAGTTCACATCCAGAAGTCTGGCTACAGTGCCAAATACACATTTGAGGTGGGCACTCGTTTTAATGTGATTCTACTTATAAATGTATATAAATAATCATCCTCGGGAAAGGAACAACTGATTCATTCATTTTCATCTTCTGATGCTGTTTTTCTCTCAATGGCAGGAATTTGTTGAGAAGTTTAGGATTTTGTTTCCACAAGGAACTGCTGCAACTCCAGCGCACATCACTGCACTGTTTGAGTGGATGGCTTTGGATAAGAAGACTTACCAAATAGGAAAAACAAAGGTAGATCACAATATCACTTTTCAAACCAATCAGCCCCATATTAAATTGCCTCTGGTCTCCCTTTAAAAGCGTTCGTTAATAACTACAATTTCAGATTCCAATAATACATTTTAGAATTCTGACGCAAGTAAACTAATAAACACACATAAATGTCAGAGAAGCAGGGTGTGTGTGTGCTAAAATCTAGAGAAGAGTTAACTGCACAAATGTGTCTGCATTTATTGTATGTATGGCATCTTCTTATCTACTCAGGTTTTCCTTAAGGAAAAAGAACGGCAACTGCTTCAAGACACACTCAACAAAGAAGTGATGCGCCGCATCATCACCCTGCAGCGCTGGTTCCGCACGTGCCTCATAAGGTTCCACTTTCTGCACAAAAGAGATGCTACAATGATCATACAGGTGCAGCACTTTTGTTTAACTCACTGCTAAACAAAAACAAAAAACACTGAGGCTGAGCCAGTAAGATTTGGGTCACTTAGGCTCTTTTTTTTTTTTTTTCTTGCTGCGCCAGTAACTGAAAATGTTCGTCAAAGTCAAAAACATACTTGATTAGGGCTAAAATAGTATTTCTGCTCTTACAGAGGAGATGGCGTCATTTTTCTCTGACCCAAAATCGAACCGCTACATTGATGCAGGCAGCATGGAGGACGTCCATGGAGGAGTGGAAGCAGGATGATGGCGGCTCCAAAGACCGGGGCAGACGGGAAAGGTACTGACATGGCTGAAGTGCATTACAGAAGTAACAGCTCTTGTAGTTATTATTCAGATATGTCATTACTCAGATCGTGAGCATTACACTGATTGATCTCTTTGAATTGATGATGTATCCCACACTCAGTGCATTAGGCTCATTTATCTGGCGCAGAGTGCTGCATGCAAGCAAGCAGTAGATGATTTCCGATTAATACTATAAGGAAATATGTGTTTGCTCACAAACACGTGCCCTTGAAAATCAAGTTTATCTATTTTTAAAGGCATGCATTTATCTGGGTATGTACGCTGAAATGCACCATTTGAAAAATATGCCGCTTCAGTGCCCTCTGGTGGCTAAATAATAGTAGGACAAAATAGGATATGTACTAATCTGCTGTATCTGTGACAGCTTTACGGCAGCAAGATGGTCCCTGGTTTAATAATTTCAGGTAAAATGAGAATTTAGCAGTTAAAAACTGTTAGGATTCGTATTCATTTCTCTTTTTTTTTCTTTTTCTTTTTTTTTAATAACAGCTTGGGAAAAAGGGAGTTGAAGAGGCAGGAAAAAATGGAGCAGCCTGACCCAGTCAATATTAATGCTGTACAGCGGGACAGAAGCAATGAGAAACGTCAAGGCAAATCCCCTCCATCACTCACCAGACCCTTCTCCGTCCCTGTAGATCTAGTTTCCATTAACAATGACTCCACCAGCCACATTAAGGGAAACACACTTCAGCGCTACAAAAATATTGGAGGATTCAAGGAGAAGGCCGATAAGTGGAAGGACAACAGACATAGTGAAGGAGATTCAGGTTCTGAAGCACTCTGGCACAGAAATTATAGGAGAAATAAATTTCAGTAAGTTTTTCAACTTCTACAGTCAGTGGTTCTGCTAATATGGCCTCAGAAAAATGTTTTGAATACAGTGTTAGATCCAAGGTCCAAATATGGGCAACCACCACAGCACATTTTATTATTGATGTTTTTGAAGTGAAGACTTTGAGCTCACAAAGACTCAAAAGTAAAGGTTTAATAGGATGTTGAAGCTTGTTTCTTCATTCTTTGGTGACCAATTAAGCAGATAAGTGTTTAACTGGTATTTTGTAGATTTTCACTGAAAATCTGATCGTGTGGCTCAGTGCGACGATGATGTAGGTGAAGGAGGCCATTGTTAGGCTGAAAAGAAACCCACCAAGAGATTTTTGAAACTTTAGGCGTGGCCACATTAACAAATCCAATAAATTTTTAAAGACTAGGGAGTGCTAAGCACACCAAGGCCCAAAATGGGAGACACATTTTTTCCTTAGCTAAGAAAAACCTCTCCCAGCAAGTCCAAAACATTCTTTAGCAGGTAGGCGTATCATTGTCAAGGTCTGCAATCAAGAGACGCCTTCATGAATGTGAATTGGGTGAAGATGAGACAATAGCTGGGAAAATGTCTGTTACTGCAGCTTTTTAAAAAAAAAAAACAAAAAAAAAAACTTTGCTCAGAAAGTTGAAAGTTACAGTAAAGAAGGAGTTCAGTTAAACAGCGAAGAGCTCAGAGAGTCCAAATCTAAATGATTCAGCAAGAAGCTTAAACCCAAAATGAATGTAGGGCGTGCGGTATGACCGAGGTTTTCTAAATCAGTCTTTGTGGCAGCACAGTGCAAACAGATGTCTGAGAAAAGTGATCAGCTGCATCTCCACTATGTGGTGCAGAGGATGGTCATTATCCACAGCCACGGTTATTTGGATGACCTCCGCATCAGCTGACAGAGGAATCCAAACAGTGTGTGGATTCACACTAGATCCAAACACCAGTAGCAATGACAAATTCCCTTAGTGAGTAATACGGATGCATTTCTGCAGGAAATTATTACGCAATCAACATCCCAGTCTGCCTGAAAAGTCCTGAAGCCATGGAAGGTCGCACTGTGGTCCGGGAAGTGAGAGTGTGTCTTCATGTAAAGCGCATCAAACTGCACTCTTTGTTCCCTCTGGTGTTAATCGGCTCACCAGAGCTGGTCCATCTTATATTCCACAAAGATCACATGCTCCCCGATCATCGTTAGAACAGCTCCAGATTTCAAATCCCAGCTGGGATTTCAGACTTTGCTCTGGGCAGTCACATCATCATTGATGATCAGGTGTTGGAAGTTCTGTCGTTGAGAGTGCAAAGGAAGACAAGTAGTAGGCTTTTAGATCTTGACTTTGAAAGACTGGGGAAAACAAAAGACAGCCACTTCATTTGCTTGAATGTGAGCCAAAAAAAATAACATTAGATGGAGATAAAGTTAGTAAAATGAACAAAAAGCACAACAGCAGCAGGTTCAACAGCAGCAGTGGGTGGCTGTAGCTGGTGGTAGAGCAGGTCATCTACTGATCGGAAGGTTGGTGGTTCGATTCCTGGCTTCCCCTAGTCTGCATGCCAAATATCCTTGGGCAAGATACTAACTAACTTACCATTCTGCCACTTGCTTCCAATGAATGGCGTAATAAAAGCAGAGGGTTTACACTGAGGCAAAGAAAGGCATTAAACTTGATTGGGCTAGCACAGTTCTGGAAAAGAAGACAAAAAAGAATTTTGGACAGATGAAATCACCTGAAATTATGTCAGTTTATCCAATTACCTTTGAGCCTCTGAAAATGGGGGAATGTCTGTGTTTTTGTTTTTTTGGGGTTTTTTAAAGGCTGTAATTCCTAAACCCTGTACAATAGTACTGGTACAACCCTTGAGTTAAAGCTGCAAGTCTGCACAGTCTCAAACTCAAAACTACAAAGACAAAACTACAAAGACGATACCATTGTCCAAATAGTTATGGGTCTAACTGTATGACATGCTTTCTGTTTAAGCATCTTGAATAAGTATTTCTGCCTTAAGATCCTAAAGTATAGATTCTCATGCTATTAATAATGATTGGAAAGTGTTTTATATTTAGTCAAACAATCACTCATTGCTTTTATTTCCCTGTACATACAGCACCAAAAAGTCCATGTCTGCAGATGAACTTTCTAAGATCAGCTCATCAGGCTCTGACAGCTCATCTTCAGTCAACGAGGTAACATCAGCTCCTGTATCAGTGATTGACCTAAAAAGTTTAATTTAACCTGTCTTTATTATTTTTGTGCTCTTATTGTGTGATTGCTAGTGTCCTTGCTGCATTTATGATAGTGTTGTAGCTTTGTGTACTGTGAGCTAATGTTACAGTGAAAAACACATGAAAGGAAGCTTCTTGCATAACAAAGGAGGTCTCGCAGACCTCGTACCTCATCACTTTCCCTGGCCCAATTAGGTCAAGGTCCGGGTCCGCAAGCGCAAGAAACACAAGCGGCGCTTAGCCTACGCCCGCAGTGGTTTGATGTGTAACTTTGGTGGCTCCAAGGAGAGCGAGTACTGGAGCTTTCCGCTGCCGCCCATAAGTCCCTGTGTGGCCAGTCTGGCGAGCTTGGTCAGTAGCGCCGATGTCCGGGACCTCAAATCCAAGGTTGGATATAGGGATTTTTTTGCCAACCAGATCTCTTCTCTGCATGCAACTCTTGCATGTGTATGTACCAAATGGTTGGATAGCTTGGAATGTTCTGGGCCTTCTGATTTCTGCTGTGCAGGCCAGGACAGTGAAAAATGGGCTGTTGCTTTCAAGCAGAAGGGAAATATTAAAGCCCGTTTTTAAAGCTAATTTCTGATCTTTCTTGTCTTTCCACCCAAAATGAGGAGAGGGTCAGCAAGGACAGAATATGAGAATATGAGAAGAATATTATTATGTGCTCTGATGTCAGTGTGTTTGGTCACTTCTTGTCGTTATGATTATGCAACACAAACTAACATACAGTATTTAATAGACGTCCATTATTAAATCAGTTTTGATTTATTAACTTATCATCAAGTCTTTTTAATTGTGGACTGAAACTTCTAATAATATTTAACCATAAGGAATTGTACATATTAAAGTAACATATGTTCCCCTTGACCCTGATAATGCATATATGCAAATATGACTTGTTGATTTCCTCTTTACAGAGCCATCCTGGTCTATTAATGACTGCTTAACATTAGGGCTGCCACAAAAAGATTATTTTGTTAGTAACCGATTACTTTTGCAATTTGTCGACTAATCAGATCATGCATCCATTGGACGTAAAACGTACAGCTTATTGCACCAGCATGCATGTGCTCTTATATAACTATCATTAGCTTACAGCTTGAAGTGTTTAAGGTATGTGCTAACTAAAAAGAAAGACAAGATGATAGTTTATTAAACTTTTAATGAAATTTGCAGATTGTCTCGGTGGGGTTTAATAAACTCAGTCGTCTGCCCTTTGCTCCATCAAATATAACAGGACACTGGAGTAAATACTTAATATCATTTCATTCAGTGTAAAGATTTATTTGCAAGATGCAAAAACAGACAAAATTGAAAGTTACAAATATGCATGAAACAAATTCAGACGTGGTGCAGATGTGTGTGTCACAAGTTAATCTGGCTATAGGCTAAGGCACTTGGCCACAGGTGGCAATAGTTGACTCGACTCCATTTGAGTGTACACAAAGTAAACTGCATGCTTTAGTTGTGAAGCGAAAACGCTGAAATCGGAGTAATAAAACTTACGAGCGGAACGATAACGAATACAAGATCCTCCTGATCGTTTAATCTGGCTGTCCTGTGAACAGCATCGGCGTGATGTTAATTATTTGCCGTTTTCGCGATCGCCTCGTGCATGAGAAAATCACCAAGTAAACTCGCAACATTTTTAAACATTTTGTTGTTCAGCAGCAACAAGACTGACGGACTGTGTTTGAGGTAATATCACAAATGTCACAGATTTAATATTTGGTGTTTATTTGCTGGCTTGTCGGTAGCGGCCCTTTAAAAGCAAGTCTACCACACATCTATTCGACCAACGCCAGTTGATCTGCGACGCCAGTTAATCTGGAACACCGGCTCTAGTGAGCCTTGACCACCCGGCTAGCTATCGAGCTGGTGGGTAACAGACGTTTCCGAAAACGTCAGGGCACTTTTGCAAATATGTGATGTCTTCATAAATTGGGCAAATATTTGAAGTTTATCTTAAAAGTTTATTTTGTGACCCAAAAAGACACCCGACACAAATCTGGTAAAAAGGAGGACGCATTTGTCGCAGCATTTGGAGGAGTCTTCGAATTTGGACATCCTTTGTCATGTCGCTGTTACGTAATCGACCTACAAATGCGGCTTACGAAAGATGCAAAAGACACCTCTGAACTTGGACACAGCTAAGATACCGGAGACTGCTTCTTCTTCTTTGGCGTTTAACTGAAGCTGGTGCTGGACTGTAACTATTGTGCTGCAGTTATATCATGTGCATTGGGTGTGGTTTGGTGGAGGCACTTGTAAATTTAAATGTAAGCCTTTAAGATGATATTGGTGCTTGCGCAGCAGGGGAGCACGGTTGGGGGGAAAGGAGCGACTGTCACTTTGGATCAGAACGTGATTTGTTTTGTTGCTGTTGGCTTCTTTACATAATTTGTGCTCTAGTTTTTTGAATCTTTATGTTTCAGATAACTGATGGCTCAACGTTCTCCCTTCCAATCCACAACACCAATGAGGACAGCATAGGACATCACGACACCAGCACCCCTGATAAGTAAAGCCCTCACTCAGTTAATTTATAAAAATTCAAAATCCAACATTAACGTTCTGAGGTAATTTGATATTCTGCTACATGGAATTTATGCAGGTTGTCTTTTTTGCAGGGCTTGGTCTCTCGGTAAATTCCTGAGGAAAATGGCACCCAGAATATCCCCCAGCAATGAATCTCCAACAGATAAAGCAGGTAACCACAAGTCTTTAAATGCAGATTCAGTGTATTTATATAACGCAACAGTGCTGACACTTTAATGACAGACATGTAGTAAACTTTAAATGGGCTGCAGGAGATATTTAAAGATATTTAAAGTCATTTTTTTGTGTGGAAATGGAGAAGAAAGGGAAGTAAATGTTGTGTCTTCCCTATCATGGTTTACCTTGTGTATTGTCATACCACTGTTTGACACACTTGTTATGTTTAGTGTAATAGCCGTTAAAGCAGCGGTGTCACACAAAAGCCCAGAGGGCCAAAATCTGTCTGACAAAAACTCCAGTCTGGCCCTTTGGAAGGCTTTGGAAAATGTGAAGGAGGTCAAAAGATGTTTGATTTAGAACTGTATTTGATAAGTTTTATAGCTTTAACTGTTGGATAAAGACCTCCTCCATGGCCATTCCTACTACACCAACATAGTTAAGTAACAGATAAACTGTTAAATGGCAAAAAAAAGTCCCTGTTTTTCATGATTTACTATAGAAGTTTTGTTTTTTATTTTGCGTGAATTAACGCAAACTTAAAGAGAGGTGTATGTGGCCCTCGATGTAAAATAAGTTTGACTTCCCTGTCTTAAAGTTTGCATAAAAGGCCCCACTAGATAATATCAGTTTCTTTTAAAAAATGAGCATTTCATTAAAATTACAGGATTTAACCTTCAGTTAAGTCAAATCTTATTGTAATGTCATTACTAATATTGCTATCTGTCCTTTTGCTGCCAACAGTCACCTTCTCCAAGCACACTTCACATTCTAACCAAAAGACAAACCAAAACAGTGCGAAAACAAATCGTAACCCCACCATTCGAATCAGCCGTACCACACGGGGGTTGCAGTGGGACTCTTCTCTGGACCAAGAGGTTACTGACAGCAAGGAGCTACGAAACCTGGACGAGTTCCTTGGGAATCAGGTGAGATCACAACTTAAGAGGGAGATGGAGCAGGTTTCTAACTTGAGTTTAAACCTATACGACTCTCTCGTTTATACCATAAATGTGCTATTTTCAGGACTTACTTCTTAGGTAGATTATCATTGTACACATAGATGGGTACCATGAAATGGGTCTCAGTTATAGCCAGCCCAGTTATTTTACACAACCTTAAAACCAGATTTACAAGTTATTTAAATAATGCCTTTTTTGGCAGTAAATATTGTCCATATTTAGCACATTATTTCCTGTCTTCAGCTTCAATATCAGCTATCCACGTTTAGAAAAACTTCTAGTTGTTCACATTTTCCTCACCTTTGTCATCAGGTGAATGAGCTGCAAACTAGAAAGGATCGGTCGCCAGCTGAGACGATTTTTCTCACAGCCACGATGCAGTTCAGAGAGAACATCAAAGGCATGTACTCTGTCCAGGTCAGTCAGTGTTTTAACTTGTTGGCTCAAATGACAGAGGAATATGGAAGGCAGCTTTTTTTATGTTTTCCTTGTGA